GGCCAAAGACAGCACTAGCAGTAGTAGTAGTGGTAGTAGTGGCTGTAGTAAAAGAGATGGAAGGGCCAACACAGCAAAAGCAGCGGCTTGACTCAAGAGTGGCTCAACGTTCATTCTTCGCTACCGCGCTAATGGGGTCGTAGGCGCCCGGCGCAGCGTCACTAATCGTATGTCGGCTCAATTAGCGACGATAGTCAAGACAGCAGAGATGGCAAGGCGTGGACAATTGGCTAGGTACGTATAGCATACACGTGCAGTGCATGGACCGTTGCGTGATTCTAAGGCTTCCTAGCAGCTTGTCGAAGACGTCATTTGCCACTGACAGCAGAATCAATTTCTTAATTAGGTTGGCAATAAACCATGACCTGGCGTGTCGGCAGTATTGCAAGAAATTGTCCGAACTCTAGAAAAGTGCGAAAATCCGAACCGCTAGCAGTTCTTGACAATTCAGTAGTTTACACATATATATGTAGGTATATATAAATAGGCAGACAATGATGACGCTCGTTTCACCTATTTCAGCCATCTGGGACCTCGTCTAAGTGCCAGAAAGGTCCAGACTGAGAGGACTTGTTTAAACGATGTTACACACCGACACAATGACTTGGATGGCGCTAGCCGTTGCGTCGATACCGCCATCAGAAAATCTCCCAGTCCGGAAAAGTCCAACGCGCCTCCCATAGAACGCTGTAGGAAACAAGGAAACAGTGGTAAAGGCCTACGAGCCAAACAAGTCTTTTATTGCGTCCCATCGTCGAGCTGGCAAATGACCCAAGATACTTGATGGGAAGGCTTAACGTTTTTGACAATGCCAGCAAAAACTATAGCAGCGACAACAACGACGTCGACAGCAGCAGCGGCGCCACCATTAAGCACAGCCACTGTTGTGCCTACACAATATCTTCCCGCGATGTTTCGATAGATATTCTATGCTGTGTATAACGCTATCCACAGTTGCCTTTGCTCAGCGGATTCTGAGGCAACCCTCGGTTCGTGACGCGTTCTGGCAATTGTCGCATTGGTCCTGACGTACCCTGAAACGCAGTCGTGTTGAGTGCTCAATGTAGCACGACTGGTGGACCTGCTACTCACTCTTTGATAATATCATTCATGTTTGACCGTTTGAATGTCTATTAACAGCCTCTGTGAGAATTCGTGTTGGTCTTTGTTGCGTTTAACGTACGGCGTTTCATTCCAGGCCCCTGTCGCCGCTACTCGACCAGGGACGAGCGCAATCTTCTGCGCGGGGTCCGTACTTACAGTATTTCACAGCAATATCGCAATAGCAAATATCATTTCATGAACGAACGCACGCACGCGCGTACATACACAAGCACACATCTATTGTAGAAGTGTACAGAGGCATACGGATGCAAAAATGGGCAGGCTAGTACGACCCTATCACACAGCTAATCCTGGTCAATGTGTTAGTTGAATATCATCGTATATTAGGATGCCGCTCATTCGGGTTAGGGAAAACAGCGGCGGCCGTAGCAGGTGCATTGTAATAAGCACAGCACCGGGTCGGCCGCAAGACAGACGGCAAAGACGTACATGGCAGTCAGTTAGGGCAGACCGCTCACTGTTAACTCGGCGGGCCAAGCGACCACGATGTGGCCTGACAGTCAGAGAATTCGAGCGTGGGGCAAAATGAGCATTGAATGGCTATGCGACTTCAATTGCTCCAGTTGTCTCAAGCCGAAACCTGGGTAGGAACAGCTGCAGCCAATTTTATCGCCGCTGCAGTGGCAGACTTGCTTGATCCGCATGTGCGAAGCTCCACACTGCACTTTTCGTGGTTTACTGCCCCAGTCGCAATAGTGACGCCAACGAACCACAGCAACATCTAGAGGAGCTGTAGTAGTTCCTTGCCCCGTACTCTATTCCCCGAGACGAAAAACGCACAGACCCCCGATTGTAATAGCTCGTTCTGATATCGATCCTTTCGACAGCGACAGTGGTGACCGAGGTAACACGCACTCAGCGTCCCTCGCCACTTGTACCGAACGGCGCTGTAAAACTTCCCTTACGCTAGTCGCGGCGTCGCAGGTGCAGTGTCCATCGACACGGGTACTCGACACGAGTCACCGACATCGAACATCGCAGTAGGGCTAACTCTCGTACCAGCTATCGTAACATTTTCCTCAGGCCGTTTCCTCGTTGGCTTCGCTACAAGTAGCTAACAGACGGCGAGCCAAATGCACGCCGCGAAGCTCATTCATTGTATTTGTTACGGAAGCTATGCGTAAGCATAGGCCGGGGTCGCTGTGTATTTTGTGATTTGGCGATATAGACAGTTTGGCCTGTGGCTGGCACCGTATGGCCGCGTGATACGGAGAAAAAAAAATAGCGAATAAATTAAGTTTAACGCTCGACGCAACGATCGTACCGCCGTTAATACTTGTCGTGGCTATGTGGCTAAGCCAAACGACCGTACGAGTTGAGATGCGTAGGCAAGCGTTGACTGACAGCTCGGAAGCTTGAATGTGGCAACTGAACGTTTTTTTTGCGCTCGTTCTATATTTATGGCACTGCTAAGTGTGTACGTATGGCCAAACAGAAATAGATAGATTATAACTGAGTCGCTAGGTGTTGCAAGAAAACAAACGGGTGAAGTGGAAAACGCGGGGCGAACAGACACGACACAGCTGATCCATATAATGAAGTCATGTATGATGCTGACACTCGCGAGACATTAGATGTTTATCAAATGCGCAAAAACAGAACGAGTGTTTTTGTGTACTGAAACATTACACTCACAAACAGAGCAAATGCGTAGAGCAAGTTTCAGTTATGACGCTCGAGATGGTCATGGAATATAACCCGCAAAGTTTTAGCGGACTGGTACTAGTTGAAACAAGTTCTCAACTCGGCGTCGTAATTAGTGATTCAACAAACAAAACAACTATTCGTAGAAAATGGCAGCTGATAATGTATACCCAATTACTTTTGAAGCTTATTTATTATACATATATATGAAGATGTGTTTGTGTGTGTAACAAGACGGGTTCTTTCAGTATATATTCTTCGGCTATTCTCTTCTGTGTGGACAAGTTCAGGATGCCTTCTTCGCTACAGCATCGAGGACCTGCTCCACTAGAAATGTTAGCCGGGATGGTCTTTGGAGTCTTCTCTAAAATACCTATGAACGGCAAGACAACCAAACAAGCAGTAACGCGAAAAATTTATACGCGTTTCATTTAGGAGCACAATTAACTCGTGGCCATGGAATGGAAGTTTACAAAGCGTCGGCATCGGATCATTTTCCTCGATGACTTTGCTTTTATAATATAGAAAATAGCTGAAGAAATAAAAAAAAAAAACGAAGGACTAATTCGGGGCCGTTTTTTTTTATAGGTGACTATCGTTCTGATAATCTTTCTGTAGTTAGCGTTTGCCTGGGTAACACGTCAGCGATTAATTAACTGAGATTGATATCAAACTATGCCCCCTTTAGTCTACACATGTCGTTCGACGTTTACCACCGTCAAACCACAGAAGAAAATAACAGCTTTTTGCTCTTCAGCACCGCGTTGTCGTGTACGAAGACAAACTGCAAGCCCATCACAATCCGCAATTGATTATACTGACCGAATACCGTCATATTTTTCTCGTTGTCGTTAGAGGCAAAAAGAATAACGTGAAATGATACAAGCATGTTCTATTCTAGCATACAAGAATGGACACATCGCCATGGAACAGTTAACGCTGTACCAACACATAGCCTTCGCTGCTAAAGGAAGTCACCTGTCAATTCGAATCTTAAATATTCAAGTAAGCGAAGCGATGATTCTGGTCGTGCTTATAGGTTCAGCCAAAACCTAATATCCGACTAATGAGAGGGTTTGTCCAGTCAGTCCGAGATAACTCAGTAAGTACCCAACCGCATAACCTTGAGCGTAAGCAGATCCGCCTGCCAATTCATACCGTATGCATACATTACTATAAACTACTCGCTCCTCGACTGTTCCAACAGTATACGATTACCACATAATCCAACTATTGCAAGTAGTATTAGTGTTATTTCTATGATTTGTCTGCTTTGTTTCAAGCGGAGCTAACGCGGAATTTCATTCGAATCTCGCATGAATCATATTTGATCAGCATAAAATGACCAGTAACCGTCAGGCTCGTTTACAAAGCAGAAAGGCACCAGCGCATACATCCGGAATAACTGGGCAGATGTAACAGAACGGCCGTTCTGTCGTGCAGAAAACCCCGTCTTATTGTTGAGTTATCGGTACTGCTACCGCTGTCTAAACAACGACTACGGCCTGATGCCTGATGGCAGGCCCTTGTCAATTTTTAGTGAAATATTTTATTACTGACAAAAGCAACAAGAACAACAGCGCTGTTACGGCCGCCGTTCTAATAGTAGTCATACTAATATAATAAAACGATACAAGGTATAAAATTGTGCCATCTCATTCCTTCCGCGTTAGCACCCTGAATGACGAAGGAGGCGCATTATGAGACTCGCATCTTTCTTTATTTTTATTTTCTTTTTTTCGTTTTCTTGCCTCTGCTTCGTTATTGCTGTCGTTGTTGATGGTGGCTCTGTCGGGGGATGGCTTTGGGCCTTCGCCAGCCGTCTCATAGTCCAAGAGGGCCGTATAACAGTCCGAAGAAAAGTTGTAAATGTGGCACGAACGAAGAAGAATCGGCGGTCATCGAACAAGAGGGTCCAAATCAACGTATGGAGACCTCGATGGAATAGGACGGATTTTTTTACGAGGAGCGCCCGTAAAAGGTTTACAATCTGGCACTATCTCACACATTCGAGCAACGACGACAAAAACACTAACGGCAACACTGGAAGAAGCAACGAGACGAAGGCGAAGATTGATGACATGTTGTGGTATACCACCCCAATATATGGGTGGACATCGTCGAGAATAACGTGAGGCTTGTCTTATCGTATTGACGCCAGACTTAGACTGGCGTTGTTTTGCACTCTCTTGTAGAACGAAAAAACGATGAGACATAGAATATGAGCAAAATCAAGAATTCGTCGGTGAACGGGGGTGTTGGTGGGTAAGCCGAACTGATCGCGATGTCTCAATCCAGTAAGAAGCAACAACGAAGCCAGCGGAAACGCAAAAAAAAAAAATATTTGAAGGCACATTCTATATTTTGAAGATATTCCGGTGAGTGAGACATAATAGCGTACTATATAAATGAAAAGGGCCGGGATTTTGTTGTGATGTGAAGACGATGCGGGCGGTTATTCTGTTTGAAGATCTTAGCTATTACTATAATGCCGGTTGTGAAGTAGCTTGTGTTCTTCATACAACTGCCAGCTCGTTCGTAACTCCGACTTCAAGCTTCAATTAGAATAACCTTTTGATTGTTAGGAAATATGTTCGAATGGTGCAGTTGTCTCCTTTCCATATGCTAGGCCTAACGAATAATATATATACCTCGTTGTTTTCTCGACGATACATTATGCAACTCTATGATTACATTAAATGTTATCGAATACTTCTTAAACCAACGCGCGTGTACATCTCGCAGCGTATAAAATCGCTTCGTGTGGTCGAATGGGCTCATTTCCTGTGACTTATAGACGGCGTGTTCGTCGATCACCGCAGCGTGGCGTCTTCCATCGTTGACCGTCGCTTCTGCGCCGTTTGATGAGCTTTGGTGAGTAACTCAGTTTGGCTTCTTGGTCGCACCCACGGCAGAGAAATACAATCGCCATGTCCAGCGACGAAGTAAATTATCTTCAGCGACGTCCATAGAGGTAGGAGTAAAGTCAATGAAGTGAGCTTCGACCATGTTGATGGCTGGTCAACAGTAAACTACAGAAAAAATCCCAGCATCTAGACATCATTACATGGATGCGATGTCACAATAATGGCCGCCGTTAGTGCTTTGCATCAACTGAGCTAAGTCACTTAAAGGCATTCAGTTATCTATGGTTCGAACCCCGTTTCGAGTAAATAACTTGAACGGTTTAAGAAATGGGGCAAGTAACAGTTTAACTGGAACAGAATTCAAATTTAGTCCTTGAGGCCATCCTTTGGACGTATTAAAATAACAGGCAGATACTACCGTAATGGGTAGATATGTCCTGCACACGACCTACTCCACGAGGAACTTCAAAAAAAGCTCGCCACTGCAAAACAAATTTGCAAGTGCAGGACCACATCAATTCCGACGAAATGTATTAGGACTTAAAATATATTGATTTAATAGTAATGGCATAGACCTGGCAATTCTTATAGTTATATGCCTTTTCAACAATTATCTTCTACCGCAAGAGCCCTTTTATGCAAAATGTACCTGTTTATTTCTGTTAGACATGTTGCAGATTCTCCATGTGATGTGGGCTAAGCCAAAACATTGTTTAATCGCTAACCAGATCTTTTTAATCATACGTTAACTACGCATGAAACTAACACGGCGCTGCATTGTGGCTGTCAGCAGAGTCCTCGGTGTCCAATTTGTGACTATTTGAGCTTCGACGTTTTACGTCCAAAGGAATAGTCTCCCGTTGCTTGACGATGAGTACGTCCACCACTTCTTCCATTACTGCTGCTACTAATTCTGCGATGCGTTCTGTTGTTTGGATAAAGTGGCGGCCAAACTCACCTTAGTGACGTCGTCGTTGACGGTGGCGCCATGCCGTCGGACAGGATTTGGACATCATGGGCAATTGATTCGGAGGACTTCTTCGGCGGCGCCATTGCCGAGCCTACGTCGTCTGTGTGAAGCCGCTGGCGCGCTCGGCGCACCTCATCAAGCGCCGCCTGTATTCTACGTACTCGAGGCAAGCAAACGGCTTTCACCTGATGCCCGTCCCTTGCCGCAGCTTACCGAGGTTCCGCTACCAGTTGGCTGTTGTCTGTTTGACTGCTAAACTTAGCACACGTTTTTCAGTATTCTCCTTCGTACGTGGGAGATACAGGAAAGAAATTACCAAGGCGCTTTTCACGGCACGACAATGAGTTACTGAGAATGGTAAGCACACAAACCTGGTGAAGCTTAGATGAAATACTTTGGTAAAAGCCTGAAGGCCTATTGTTAGAAGAAGGAACCATCGATTCATTATCGATGACCTGATTTATCGTGACGTTGGTGCTGGTGAGCAAATGTAGGGTCGCTAGGTATCGTTACGGTTGGTTAGCTTTGTCGAAACTGTGAATATCTACATCTACTTTTACTCCTCAGCTGGAAAAGTGATGCTAAAAGCTGTTCCTTAACTAACGTCAGTGACCGGTTCTCAATTAGAAAAGCCAACCTGACAGAGCAATACAACAAACTTCGTGAGACCCGTCACAAGAGAACAGACCCTAAATTACGCGGAACAATTGAATTCCCTTCTAGTCATACAAAAAGGTGCAAGATGCTCTGCACATCATGCAAGCCCATTTCGATTTTGCTGCCATTATTCTTGAGTTGAGAATAAGGAAATTGTCTCAATCCTATTGATAAATATTTAAATTGAACTAAATTTGGTCAAGCTAATAAATTTATATTTGCAACTAATTGTTCTTTACTTAAATTCGTTCACTTAAGCTTGTGCATAAATCACCAGTAAGTTTACTATTCTGCATAGTAAAGCTTAATGTACTAGCGAGAAAATCCGTTACTCAAGGGATCGATTGAAGAAAAGCACCTCATCATTACACAGATGATGTTTCTTTTCACCGAACTCGCTGTCGACTTTTGCGTGAACCGATGTTGCTAACTCTGTTACGATCCGCGTTTACGAACCAGCAGCAGGACCGTACAATGACGAAAATATAAAGCAATTTCGTCCGACGGCAGCCGTTACTCTCGACTGCCGCAAGCACCCTCTGGATCCGGAGGTTTGCGTGAGGTATCATGCCAAAGAGTTTGCGACTGTGTAAATAAAACTTGTGCCGGGTGCGCACACGGTCTCATGGCGCGTCACCCATTGATGACAAATGCCGCCTCTTCATGGGGCGGGCCGTCGAACCGTCGGGAAACACCGGCTATATCGGGGACGTAAAGCTGCAGAGAATAGAGCGTCCCTCTGTGTAACGTCTGTGAAGCTCTCACGCAAGTCGAACTGCTTTAGCAGCATTAAGCATGGACGCCTCGAAATTGTTAGAAGCCTCAAGAGCGACTGAGCCCGCACCGATACAACAAAAGTAGAGAAGAAACAGTAAGCCGGTTGGTTATCTTACATGAACAAGACTTGCTATCCTTTCGTATCACCCATTGAGAATGTGTTGATGTGAGCATTTGCGAGCAGAACAGCTGCACACGACGCTGATGCTACACAAAACTGCCAATATCTGATGCTAACAATATAGATGTGTATGTCGGCTAGAGGGATCAGAAACGAGGCAGTGCAGCGGGAAATTTTAAAATATCATGCGTCGCGTAAAACGTACGATTCCCTTTAAGCTTCACACCAATTACGCAATAATTAGCAAATCGTTGTTTTCAATCGTGGACAACAATGAGGATCAAGTGCCACCCACAGGTATAGTAATGAGTCGAAAGCTATACGATGATGATAAAACGTAATAGCGCTTACGTATGGTGTATCATCGATCTTTTGCTGTTCTTCTGCGGGTAGAGTTTATTACAGAGATAAGTGGGAATACTGCCTTGTCGAAGCATGAGAGACAGACGACTGATCGTCTTATAAGCTTCTTCGTGCAAATCTGTATTTGATTTCAACGTAATCCCTTTGGTGTTTCCTGGTGAAGCAAATGCGGATCAGTTGGGGGTTTGTGGAAAGAAGATGACTGGGCATGCATAAGGATCGCGCCTTTTTTGACCCTTCTACCTGCAGCAAACAATGACAAACAGATGCTTGCTGCCACTACATGAGATCTGAAGCATTATTGCAACAACAAATGATATCATGTTTAATGTTTATACAATCTACTCAGTTACTCAGAACGAGCTCTCGTTAAAAATGATATACCATCAACGACGATATTACCTCTAATATAAATATCTGTGTAGATTTACTTTGCTAGCTCACGCGGAGCGGTGGGACGCCTTCGTGCATATATATCGTTAGCTGGCCTATGTCTGTATGCGGGACTCGGAGTCGTCATTTACTTAAAGAATTAGAAAATAGAATCGAGCAACAGTAGGCTGAAAAAGAAGGGCCGTCTAACTGTCACAAGACTATTATGTTTCATAATATCTGTCAATGTTTGGCTTCAACCGGCGACTCTTAGCGTATGAATTAATCATTCTATGGGCTCTTGTGGGATGGAAGATATACTGCACGATCCATTTATTTGGCCGTAAATACACGAGAGTGCAGCATGACACAGTACCCCTCAGCTCTTCGTGAATCACAGATACATTCTTAGTTAGGTAGTGACGACCATTGGCAGGGTCGCGTTATCTTTGAATTTGTAGGATGAACCGTAGCGATGCTTGAAAAGATCCCCCCTAAAAGGGTTCGCTAACAAAAAAACAGCATCGCATAAACATTACAGATCTTCGGAGACAAATAAGGGCAGACTTGATAGGTAACACGTTCTGGTCAAGAGTTGAGAACAAATTATTAGTAACAATTGATTTCAAGCTCCACTCACTGCTATTTCTCCTTTGTTCTGTAAGCTGTTAGCGGCTTTCAATCTTCGATATCTTTATTTTTTTTTTTTTTGTTTTCTAGTCGAACGTCTTGTTGAAGCGCATAAATTAACTATACCTATGCCATGCTTTGCGAGAATCCATGTGCCTTAGACCAGCTAAACTGGATTCTGCTTTTCATTCTGATTGAACAGCTTTAAGCTTAGCTTCAAATCAGGGTGCATGAGATTCAGGGCGCTGGCTACACAACAAAAGCCGCAGCAAATCTGTAATAGTTCTACCAATGGGCCGTCATTGGAAATGATTTGCTATGAAAGTCGTAAGAGTTGACACTTGTTTATTATCGGATCGCCATCATATAAGGCACAAAGGTTCTCAATCAGAGCCAGGTGGGGCTACCGGTACGAATCACCAACGCGGCTTCGGCTGACTCGTGAACCTGCCGCATCGGTACATACGGCGACGTCAACCCCACATAACTCGTAGGGATCCATACGCAATACAACGATGCGTAGAAAAAGTGTTACGTCGTAGATTTTTAGTCATTTTGTAGTGTATAGGTGAAAAGATAGAGCTAGAGGAATTAAACAGTTAGTTACTCCGTACCGTTTTGGACAATCAGGCTTCACAAATAAAGATTCGATAGATTGTGATTACAGGATGAGTACGTCTTAATGAACCAGCGACAGCTTAGAAACACTGATAGTGATTTACGATAGACCTAACGTTAACAAAATTTTGGATTTAGCCGTACAAATATATTTGTTTGCGTATATTTACGCTTGTGCTGCTGATAAAGTTGAATAAAAACGTATGAATAAATTTAGCAGTTGGAAAAAATAACTGTCAATCTCAATATAGATAAATAGACTGATTTACCCTTTGGAGATATTAGGTCTTCTGCACCGCTCAGCTGGTAGCTGCCACTAGACGCGGTAGATTAATTCGCCGTACGCATAAGCGCTGTGTTGTATGTTCTTAGAATACATGTGAAGAAGATCATTGAGGTCCTGCAGTTTTATGTCCATGTTACCAAGCTATTGCTTCTCATGGCAAACAGCTTAGTTTGGTGAAGAAGTTGTGATCTAAGTAGCTTTGCTCTTTATGATCTTGTTTCTCTGACGTGGTGACAGGAATAACATGACAACTCATTGCAGCCAATCGATTATAATTATCGGTTTTTCTATAGAATATAATCATGCAAAAGTCGTTTCCGCAATCAATTCCTACCCGATCCGACAATATCTAACTAAATTATGCCACGTTATGAATCGTACAACGACATTGCACCACTTCCACCTGGAAATATCTGCTGATACACATGTGTGTATGTGTTCTGCCTCTAACGATTCACACCAGGCACAGCTGCGCTGATCATGAACAGTCAGAAAGATTGATCAATCCGTTGGATCAGATCGAATCAACAAACAGCTTCCCCTAGGCAAACTGATCTTCTTCTCGCCTGGCAACATACGCTAAGTGCTTAGTAATTATAATATAGTTACCCGTTCTATACCAGTACACAATGCTAACATCGTGTAGATCAGTTACGTAGAAAACCCGCAGAAATGAACATGCGACAGCGAACATGCCCATGTTAATACCCCGCTGGTTCTTAATCCGATCTTCACCAATAACGGCTTGGTAATTGGTTCTACAAAGGCAGATTGCGGGACGTACCATGCGTCAAAACAATAAACAAATTAGATTTATAATAAATAAGCTATTGAATCAAGAACGTTATGGATCTTTTGGATGGGCCTTGGCAACGAATGGTACGAAAATTATTAAGCACGGAGGTTCGTATCAAAGTTTGATCTATGGTATGTTATGCTGGGACGTTGAAGCGGCGATCATAAACGAGTGTTATCAATCTCGATTTGTCTATCTGTGCCGTTATCTCGTGATCAATCATTGTTGATAACAATATTAATGCGTTTTGTTTATATTACTTTAATAGGGCTACTACTATATATCGCTATTATTCGGTCATGTCTGAAGTGTTAGTAACGAGTGGACACGGTAGACGCAGCAATGAGGCGCCTGCAAGATGATCGATATTCTCTAAACATACTTAAACCTAATCCTTATAACTGCTATTTATGCCGTGAAGAAATTGGATCATGGTCACATTGTTTAGAAAAATGCCTCTATGTTTCGAGTTTTGCGTCCGGTACTGCCGTGAAGCAGCTGACCCCTAGCACGAAACAAAGTTTGTTTTTTACAAGCCTGTCGGGTTTGTACTTGCCTTTGTACTAGCACGAGTATGAAACAGGCGGCGGCAGTGGTAGCGCTAGGATGGTGATAAAAGAAAAAAATCAAAGTTCGATATGTTGCTGGATAGATTCGTTAATGGAGAAACATACCAGTCGATTCCTTTTTGGTCTTTCTGGTTTCTTGGAATCGTTGGAACGTACATGGCAAATAGATGAGTTCACCTTGTACTACGGAGAAATTACATAGCGAATTGTGTTTTGTCTTTAGTTGTTTTATTTAATAAAATACTACAAGTTGAACTTGAAATGAATGAACCTTCGAGTTCATATCGGCGGATAACCTACGAGTAGGCCTACAAATGGCCCGTCGTCTCTAACGCCTCCCATACCTGTTGTGGGCTATAGGAGCAGAACTTGCTCCTATTTAGACCAGGGGAGAAGCGATCAATCTTTGTAATCGGCATGTTAGCTATCAACAAACAGTGTTATCTATCGAATTTAAAGCAAATTACGACTTTTGGGCTGGGAGCCTTTCTTTGACCGTCGCCACGTGTGACTCTATCTATTGACAACGTTCGCGTAATGATGCTGCGTCCGCAGTAAACGACTAACAAGCTGTTATCTTAGGCACGTTTTATCGGTGCGGCGGAGCAGATGTTCTTGATCGTTG